AGTTTGGCTTGGCCACGTTTTCCTCGTTCCCCTCTCTTCTTCTCCTTCCTCCTCTTTTTCTTGTTTCTTATTCTACATCAAATTGGTATCAGAGTAAAAAATCCCACGTTTAATCGCTAAAATCTGAGACAGTCACAAATTGAAGGCAAATCCGGGACACTCACCATGCAGCCACACCTCCATACATATACCCACCGATTGACACTGCCCATCTCTTCCACCAACCCACAGTTCACCTATTAATTCCACTACAATTCATCACCATCAACAGTCTCCATCACACAGCATCAACAGTTCCCCAAAACCGCCACCAACCGTACCTCTACTTCTTCACCACCCCATTGCGTAGCACAACCACCCACAAGCCAACCCGCCTGCAATTCCGTTGCCGCCTACCAGAAGAGACGCCGACCAAAAAAAAATATAGAAATTTGTAGAGACAGAAATTTTGCAGAAAAGGGGAAGACCGCTGCCACCAACACCGCCTACAGCGTTCACTGTCGGGCACAGGCCAACTCATCTGCCGATGTCGCGTCCTCTATTGGCAATTGAAGTTGGCTGTGCCTCTGTTGCAATTGAATTCAGGCGTGCTCTCTTTCCCAGGTCATTCTTTGAGTTGGGCCAATTTGTCAATTTGGGCCTTGGTTTTCTTTTAATTTGGGGCCCTTCCTATTATTTGTTTAATATGTCAATTTGGGCTCCTGCTAGTTAATTTGTTTTAGTTTAAAGTTGGGTCTACTCGTTCAGCTGTTTTAGTGGTAAAAAAAAAAAAGAGTATTTTTGTTGTTGGGCCTAAAGTGGTTTGGATAGTAACTTTATTAGTATTTTGGGCATCGATTTGAGCTTCTATTCTTGTACTTTATTTTGAGTGAAGGAAAAAAAAAAAGACAAAAAAAAAAGTCTTTTTCTAATATTTGCAGGTACTTCTCTTTAATTTACGGATCAGTTCAATTCATTCGGCAAACAAAAACGGGAGCTACTGTTTCATTATCTTTGGAGATCAATTATCTCGCGCTCAGTTACTTCCCCGAACGACAGGGAAGCTACTATTTCTTTGTCTTTAGTTTATATTACTGTTTTGTCTTAAAATTGCTTCAATTAAATTTTGTGCTGCTGTTATTTTATTCTTTCCCTACAATTTCCGCCCATACATCCTAAATTTTGTTACCGCCACTTTTATCC